ATCAAATGATTAGTTCATTACCAGCCTCTGCAGAACTGAGGAGGTAATTTAGCCGTTTAAATCAGCTGTGTTGGATCAAGGACACATCTAAACCTGCAGGACACCCGCCCTCGAGGCCTGGAGTTGCCCACCCCTGGTCTAAGGGAAGCATGTATAATGTAAACAGAATTGGTCCTAGCACTGAACCCTGTGGAACTCCATAATTAACCTCAGTGTGTGAAGAGGACTCTCCATTTACATGCACAAACTGGAGTCTATTAGATAGATATGATACAAACCACTGCAGCACAGTACCTGTAATACCTACAGCATGTTCTAATCGCTCTAATAGGATATTATGGTCAACAGTATTGAACGCTGCACTGAGGTCTAGCAGGACAAGCACAGAGATGAGTCCACTGTCAGAGGCCATAAGAAGATCATTTGTAACCTTCACTAAAGCTGTTTCTTTGCATTTATAGATTTGGATTCCCAACTTTTTTTACTATTTTTTTATTAATAAAGCAGCAAATTTCTTTTCTAGGCTGAATGAACAAAATCTCAATGAGTGAGATGACATTTCTGTCCACCGTCAAAGTTATTTCTTTTAAAACATGTGTTTGAAAAAGGCCTGTGTGGGAGACGTTTACACAAATGTCCCTTTATGAAAACTAACCACAGATTTCAGCTTCATCAAATATGCAGAAGTACCAAAAGAGAACTAAACAAACTCTGCTGGGTTGTGGTGACAACTGACGTAAATTCAAACAATTTTCCATTTTCATACAAAGTTCTTTCTGTTGACTTTAATTTATCAAAATTCTGTTTTCTGTTGCTTTTATAGAGCAGCAGGTAACAGGAAGAGTTTGTTGCTCTATAAAACAGCTCTCCATAAAACTACAACATCTTATTATAAATTACTGATCACAAAAAATAATTATCCCAGGTTTCTCTTCAGCTCTGTAGCCAGGCCGACAAACAGTCAGAGCTCTGCTGAGCCAACCATCCCTTTAACGTTAACTAGTAATGACTTCATGAACTTCTTCACAAATAAAATCTGAACTGCTCGAGAACATTGACAACATTCCCCTGGATGGGTGAAGCAGCAGGTTTAGGGTGTGGTTTCAGGGACGCTAGGTGTCACAGCCAGTGAGCATCACCTAATCACGCCGAAGGGGAGAGCAGTGGATCGGATCAGCTGATGGAGAGACGCTGAAAAGTACAAGCAGACGAAAATAAAGTGTCGTTTGCAGCAGTTATATCTGGGTCGTCCTTGTCCACTGGCGCGTTTCTATGAGCTCAACAAACATCAGCAAACAAACAAATTGTGTGTGCAGTTTGTCTCACAGTGTGTTGCAGCTAAAGGTCCAGCTGCAGGCTGTGGTTTGCCCAAGACACTAGAACAGGGAAGTGATGCGCACACAGACACACACACGCGCACACAGGCTCTGTTAGAAGCCATTGAACACTTCAAACACATTTCATGCCATCCAGAGGACACATATGTACATTTAACAAACAAAGCCTGTACATCTCTGCCTTTGTATACGATGTCTGTGCGGTGAGAAGGTGGATCTTCTTCACGCTCTCACTGATATTACAGCCTGTATAGGAGGGAGATCCACCTGCTCTGTCTCTGCAGCAGGACACGTTCAAAGGGAGAATTTCACCGTTCCTCTGTCCTGTACTGACACAGCCAAAGGTTCAAACATGGTTTCCTATGATCAGACTTATGTAAATTTACTGGCCAGAGACCTAATGAGTAAATGAAACATACATGTCGAGGCTGGGGGCGGGGCCACTCACTGAAAGTTCTTTTTGACAAACAGCACGTGGCTGCACGCCTCCAGATGCCTGTTTTGGCTGCTGATGGCCTGCACTGATGAGAGGCATGAGGAGTGGTGCAGAGTTGAAAATGAAAAACTAACTGTGCAATGTTTATTTTGGGAGCTTTACATTTGCTGTGCTTGTGATTTCACTCGCTGAGGAACAAAGAAGAAGTTGGATTCACCCCACATGTCTCTTGCTCGGTCTACTGACTGCAGGTGGGAACACCTGGGAAGCTTTGGTTGCAGGTCACACTGGTTGCGAACCAGTTGTCATCATCTTGTCCTGTAAACTTAGTGTGTTATGATTTGATATGTAAACCAGTTGATTGTTATTATATCAGGTAAAGATGACTTGATTATAACACGTGAACAAAATGCTGCAAATGAGTGGAGACTCACACAGACTGAGCTTCCTGTTTCTGATGTATGTGAAACTTGCACCATTATTTTTGGAACAGCGTACTTACAGAAAACTTGTCAGGTGTCATCCCTGCAGGGGTGATATTTGTGTCAATGATGTATTATTATTATTATTATTATACATTTTATTTGAAATAATAAGTAGACTCAATGACACTGTACACAGCAGAATAATAAAAGCAACATCAAAGCAAGAAGTTTACACAATCATAAAACCGTAAAACAGATTTCAAATAGCAGAGTGCAGCGTTTGTGTGGGAGGAGCTATTTTGAACAGGCGAGTTTTGAGTCTGCACTTAAAAAAGAGAGAAGGAAGTGATGTTCCTTACATCAGGAGGAAGGTGGAGGAGCAGAGCAGCTGAAAGCCCTGCGCCCCATGGTGGCGAGACGGGGAGGAAGAAGATCTGAGACACGGAGATGGTGATCTGGGCCAAATCAGAGAGAAATGGAGGAGATGAATAGATTTAATATCAGCTCTCTTTTAAGCAGGCGTGCAAGGTTAAAGCGGGCTTTGGAGAAACTCACTTATTTGGGACACTGATCAGATGGTGAGTCCTGAGTCTGACAGAGTCCGACTCACCTCATTAATGGCGAATGACGTCACTCATGGTGTCTGAAGCCATCAGTGACCAGTGTTGGGGAGTAAC